TCAACAACCAACTCGACTTGAATGAAAAATATTCTTCAGGCAAAGTATCTAGAATTTTGCATATCAACAAAAAATCTGGTAGTTTAGTTTCGTCATTCCTTGCTAGTTCTAAATGTAACTTATGCCAAATATTTTTAATCTTGGAGATGTGAGTAGATATATTTTCAGTATCCATCTTTTTATATTGGAAAAAATCCATACAGGTTTCGTACAATTTATCATCTGTTGACCCATCAAATATTCTATGTAATTCGTCCCATACATCCTTCGGGTTTGTAAATCGAATCACTTTCTCGAGCGTCTCATCAGAAATATTATTTGTTATCAAGAGCAAGGCAGTACTTTCTAGTGTACAGTACTCCTTAAGACGTTTTTCATATAGTGCATGAGCAGCCACTACATCAACGTCACCACCAGCAGCGGTTGTTTGTTCAGGCTTCTGTACTTTACCCACAACAATATCCATAATGCCGTCCATGCCTCGAAGAACTGCAGACATACGGTATTTCCATGGTATCCAATTGTTGGTATTTCCATCAAGTTTTGGAATCTGAATTTTACTGAATTCCATACTTCCAAGCAAAAATATAGTTTTACTTCCAGCGTGATAAGCCCATAACCACTTAAAGGTAGAATTTAAGAAAAAGCTTTTACAAACAACCAAAACTTAAAAATTCCATTTATTGACAACATCAAGAAGAACAGAGTCAAAAAAACAATTTAAACACCAAGTTGTCATTAATAAAACTTTAAATTAAACAAGAAGGTTTTCAACGTAAAGGAGTTTACTCCATTAGGAATAAGGTACTAGACTTGATAACTTTTTTAACATAATCTTGCAATAAATTGAGTTATCAGCAGGTTTAAAAAAAAACTAAAATGCATCTTAATTTCATTCTTATTTCAATTTACTTATTCAGATATTGTTTTATTTTTTTACAGCTTCCAATAAGGTTGTATTTATAAACTTCTACACAGATTGGGCGAATGTCTATAATAAGTCAGTGATACCTGATTTAAATAAAGCATCAGATGAACTATTGAAGGCTGGCTATGGTTCTGGTAAAGTCCTAATAGGTAAAATCAATTGCCAGGATGAAAGGGCATTGGCAAGAACATTCAATATATGTTGTTATCCTACATTAAAACTTTTTAGAAATGGGTCTTATAAAGAACGCTACATCGGTAAGAAATAATCTCATATTTTTTAATATTAAAGAAGGATTATTTAATAAATTGTTAATGAATATTATCATTCCATTTATTCCTTAAACAAATCTTGGTAGCAGTTTCTATATGTTTTCACAAATATTTCCATTTATGTGTGTATATTGTATCTACTTTATATTTATGTATTGTATCTTTAAATATATGGATGGCTATACAGGAAGAGAAAGACCAAAGAAACGATGGACGGATTGTGTGAAAGATGATATGGTGAGAAAGGAAGTTACTAGTGAGATGACGTCAGATAGGGAGATATGGAAGAAAAAGACATGCTGCGCCGACCCCAAATAAAATTGGGATAAGGGCAGGGGAATGATGATCTTTAAATTTTCTAGAAATAGATACTGTTTATAAAAGCATTGGGATCTATTGTTATAAAATTATTTATTTAACAGTGTACAGGCTTGTAATTTTGCTTGAATGCACTATATTCTGCCCTTGCACCTAAATTTGATCTCCACTGATGGTTATCTAGAAGAAATCTATTTTAATGCCATTTGTAATTAATTACAATAATTTTAGAAGTTTGTGCTGATTTTGTTTAAAAAAATGTTTACTCTAATTTAACGTCAGTACAATCATATACTGCTTTGTTTGGAGAATTTTGGCAAATAAGATTATTGTACTTAATAATTCATCTACTCATGTTTTGTTCCATTTCAGGAGAGTTTTCTGCTGAAGCTTTTACAGAATTCATCAAGAAAGAGTTTTCTGATCCAATTAAATAATTAAAGTTTTTGTATTTGGTTCAGAAATTACCAGTAAATATGGAATATTTATGCACAGCATGGACGTCGTTCGGCTCCTGATGATGGTATATTTATGTTATATATATATTTATTTATCAAGATAATCAAAAATTATAGTGGCTATGGCACAAATTACATATTTCAGAATGATTTTTACTGAATCTGAACCTCCATAGCCAAGTGGTTCAAAAAAATACATAAATTAAGGCTTGAAATTTTATTACAACACGTCACAGGACATACAATTTGTACAACCATTTCACATCATACACATACCAAAGAATAGAACAGGTTAAGGAATGTCTTATATCGTTATAAGAGGGCCAGTTTCAACTTAGTAACAATATTACCTACGTGCGCTTCACTATACCAGTAGATACTCATATATTCAATATAGTTTATATTTGTATTGTTAATGATTATAATGAATAAATGCATCCATTTTTTCTTGTTTTTTTTTATATAGTCTGAAATCATTGTAATTGAGTAAACATCCGAATTATCACTAAACATTCCAATTCTTAAGGACTAAACGAAAATGTTTGGCAAACTAATAGGTGCATATATGATCAATTACATTATAAATCATAGTTTAATTTAACCAAGTAACTATACCGAATGGACAGTGTATTATTTTTTATTAACATTTTCTCATGCCTTACCTTACGAAAATATGTATTTTATTCCCTGTCTAATCAAATTTTATCTTCATTATAAAACGTACCTTACTTTCTAACGTCCAATCTCTACACCAAAATTCATCAAAAATGATTCACCAACTTAGAGAAGGAAAACAACAAACGAACAGACAGCTAGGGTTATTTTCGCTTTTATAATAAGTTATATTTTTTTTCACTAATTAATTACCAATATATGTATAATAATATGAAACGTAAATTATTCCGGACTTTGATGTACAATTATTAAAATTAACATAATTTATAATCATTATAATAGGCTTATAATATTAGCATAGAACATTCCTCTTGCACCATAATTGTATAGATATAAATAATGTCGAAACTATCAGAAACACGTGCAGAAGCTACATATAATACAAAACCAAATGATATACATTAGTATATACAAAAAAAAAAGACAATTTGTGTAAATTAAAAGAAACCCATAACTCGCGTTAAGGTCGAAACAGACAGTTAAGATCATTTAATATGATATCTTAAGATAAAATATCGCTCGCAATACAATCTAATAATGGCCCAATACACACGGCTAAGATGATATCATATTTTCATATAAAGTATTTTAAGATGTCAAGCGATACGAAAATATATATTACGCAGATAAAGTAGTATATTAAGATACGAAATATAGCATTTATGTTATCGTAATTTTAACCGTGTGTTAAGATGTTAAAATATGTTATTTTAAGATATCTTAAGATGAAATTTTTTAGCATCTTAACCATTTGTTATGAGAATTTTGCAAACTTACTCGCACTCTCAGTTAATAAAAATAAACAGCACACAAAAAATTAGGGCTTGATGTGATTTAGGACTTTGCATAATATTAAGGATCCCATCAAAAAAGTTTAAGACCGCTCACATGATTTGATACTCAATAATTTCAAAAATTAATCAACTTTAAAAATTAACATGTCAATGTGCATTTCACGTGATGTCTGAACCATGACGTCACGCGTTTCCAAATCAAATGGAGGGGCGGCGATGTCCACAACTGTATCCGAGCGATAAATCGCCATTTTTATTCAACTGACTTGCCGGGCATCACATCTGCTACGCATAATTAAGCGGATGCTTATATACGAGCTGCGATATACGGTAGAAGGCCAATATTCCTGCTTAAATCTGCCTCAGGGCCTAATTTGGTTGTTATCTATCGCTTTCCCGCGCCGTTACTTTTATGACAGTGCCGAAAAGTGTGACATCGATATGCCAATCAACCGCGGTTAGTTTTTATAAACCACAGATTAAAAAACCTAAGCTACAGATGACGCCAAACAACTTGAACAAATGACCTTGCATGCGCAGAAACCGATTTTAGGCGTCGCGGTATGCGGTGCGGGGCGCGGCGTGCGGAAGTAGGATCGCATCGACCGCGCCAATCCACGCTATTGGTGGATCAGTCAACCATCGCTTCCCGCTTTGTGTTCACGTCTCATCGCTACTTCAGTACACTTGCAGGCAATAACATCACGACCTCAAAATATGTCTCGTCGACAATCAAACACAGTTTTAAAAAGGCAAGCCAGAAAGATGGTATACGATGTGTATTGCTTTTTAAAGAAAGAAGAAACATCCGATTTTGAAACAATGAAACAGACATCGGAGGCTCGTAATTTCTCACTACTACTATACACGCAGCTACTTACTTCACGTGTATCATTCGTGTGCACGTTTACCACTCAGTCACTCATGCAAATAGGACAGAAATAAATAGTTAACGTAGGAATAAGAAATTCTAATGCATAGGTTTTTTTGCTCGTAAGTGTACATGCGCAAACTTTCCCCCACCACCACACTTTTTGTTCAAGTTGTTTGGCGTCATCTGTACAATAATTGACATATTGTATCTTCACAGCGTACAAGTATCTAATTGTTACCAAGTGATTGAGAAACGTTTCAGTGTTGAGTACATCAACCGACACAAACATGATTATATATTTAACATTAAAGTTTCACAGTTAATGGGATTGTATTGAATTTAAAATACAGCTTATAATTTAATCCATCTAATGCAATCATTGAATTGGTTTTAAGCATTAAAAATTTCACATTCTGGCAACACAATACTCGTCACAGCAGAATTAAATTAAATAATCATAATTATGAATACATACGCACATCGTGGCATGATTTCTTTCGGAAATTCAAAAACTATCTATATCAACTTCAATGTCTTCAAATACAAACTGTTAAGTAAATACCAATTATTTAAAATAGCAGCATTCTTCTTACAAACGCGGTATAGGAACCTGAATTTACCATTCTGTACATTCAAAAACCATGATATTAAACTATATTCTACATATAACAAAATCTTAAACGAATAAATTGAGTGAAATTTTCTAATTTCTTTGCTTTTTCAAAACCGAGAACAATCTTCAAATTACATGTTCCTCTGGCGACTGATGTGTGTAGTAATAACACGGGCGAGATAAAAACATTTTATAATTTCACATTAATAAGAGACCACCTCTTACACTAAATTGCATGACCTAAAGGCTACATCTTTATAACTCGTCTCGAAGTAGAGTGTATCTGTTTTTGGATGGAGCCAATTTCTTGAAAGTGGACTCCGGTGGAGTAGTCATTTTTACGTCACTTATAGCTGGTACTGCTGGGTCCGGCCCGTAATGGAATTCCCTAGAAATAAATAAATAGCCTGAAGTATTCGTCATAGGAAATAAAAGGATATTAAACCTCCATTGTTTACTTGCTTGTGGTACATAAATAAATTCCCACATTGTTTTAGAACGTGGGTGATGCAAAATAATGATTCTATGACAAACAATAAAGGGCCATCCATAAAACCGAATTTATATTACAATACTAGTGGACGCCCGCGACTTCGTCCGCGTGGAAGTCGGTATCCCGTGGGAGTGAGAAGTTTTCCCAGTAAAAAGTACCCTATGTGTTATTCTGATGTATAACCTATATTGCTGTAAAGTTTTATCCAAATCCGTCCAGTAGTTTTTTCGTGAAAGAGTAACAAACATCCATACATCCATACTTACAAACTTTCGCCTTTATAATATTAATAGGATTAGTGTCATGCATGATGAAAGAAGTTTCACTAAACTAATTTCAGCACGTCTGAAACTAGTTTCGTATTGACGTAAAATCAACAGTATTACTAAGAAACTGATACCCGTCAACATCGAAGCTCTATTATGCGCAGATAATGTCGAGAAATTCGTTTACCATGCAAATTGTAGTGAAATTAGTTGCGCGACACTATTTTCATCAAAAATATGTGCATGACACGAAACTAATTTTATTAATCTAATGCATGCATTCTGAAACTAGAACATTAACACGTCAAATTGCTAGTGAAACTAATGCACGCATTCTGAAACTGAACATCAACACATGAAAGTGCTCGTGAAACTAATAATGCATGCATTCTGAAACTGGACATCCACACGTGAAATCGCTAGTGGAGTTCGTCGAGGAAGGTCTATTAGTTATATCAATAACGTAGACTCACCTATGCAACTTGCCAGAGTACAAATCTTGAAGGAACTGATACAGTTTCCCTGGTTCATCCATCTGCTTGTAATCATGGAAGAGGTACATGTGCCTGAAGGAATCTATGGCGATAAGAGGCAGGTCTGATGTCGACTTGCCGAGGTGGTGTAATGGGTGCTCGAACCTGACGCCGTCCGCCGTCAGGAAATTTATGTTCTCTGCAACACAACCGTTCGAAATTAAATGGCAATGGGATATGAACATTTTAATAAGATGAAATTGACTTTTTCAATCATAAATATTTTCTTGGTGAAAAGTGGTTAAAAAACCACTTTATACCTGGCACTCTGAGATCATAATATGGGACTCGAACCCATGACCTTTCGACTGCTCTTACCATTGAGCTACCCAGGATCTAACAGAACTGACGAATTTTTCAAGCACTTGTTACTTTTTCGCTACTACAGAGCGTATATTAAAGTAGCTTTCATTTTCAATTTTGTGGTAGATATAAAATAATTCTATTTTGTAGCCAGTTTTGTCGATAGTGTGAGCAGGCACAGGATCATTCATACAATACTTTTAGTACAATAGCTTTACGATGGTAATATTTGACGTAAACAAATATGAAAACAGCTGTACTGTTCATATTTACTTATAATTACTTTTAATTGTACAAAATGAGGTTACCTTTACCTCCATCATTGTTGCATAATAGGGTATTCTGATCTGTTTGATAAAGTAGTTGTAAGTGATTATTTTAATTTAGTCGCGATAAATATTTCGGTAGAATAAACACGTCTCCTTGTGTAAATAAAATCTCATTTAAAACATTTTTTATATTCGCGAAAACACTGTCCGCCGTATACATGAAGCCATTCCGATATTTACATAAAACAATCACATATAATTTAATTGATTAAAGATTTCAATCAGAAAAGTACAGTGCTATCTTAAGATAGAACTACGAGATACATAAGATAAGAACATCGCAATCAACAGAGCGATTCTGTAAAAATCCGAACCCGAAATCGAATTCACTTCATTAACGATCAGTTGCACAAACGCCTTTAAGCTCTAATGAATGCCAAATTCGTATGGGTAATGTCGCATTAAACAAATGAAAATTTTAGTGGACGTTTGTGCAACTGACTGTTAGTGAAAGAATTCGATTGATTCCATTTTTTGTATAAAAATACAAAACCTAATTGATTGATTATACGTGTCTCAGATATTCTAATACTATATAGAAACTCGCTTCATTTATGCCACGGAACGTTATTACCAAACAAGATTGAGCGGATGCCGCTTTTTGAAGTTAATTCGGGCACCTGAGTGAATTCGAATTCGGGTTTGGATTTTTACAGAATCGCAAGGTTGATATCTGCTTTATATATAAAACTAGCTGACCCGACAGACTTCGTCCTGTCAAAAAGATTTAATTATTTTTTCACTAATCACGAACTAAACAAACACTAACTAAGTAAACACTCTGCACAAAACACGATATACGAATTTGTTTCGTGTATCAGTTGACAAAAGCAAACTCAGTAGATTAGGTCCATAGAGTAAGGTAGAGTGGAAATATTTTCTATGGTTATATAAATATCATGCAATCTGAAGTTAACATCAAAAACATCATGTTGTCTTTTTTTAACTAATAAGAAGTTTCTTTAGTAAACAAAGATAACACTAGTGTGACAATTCAAAATTTTTTACGTGACGTCATGAGATATAGCTATCGTACCACCTGTCAGCCATTTGCAAATTTGCTTTGCGTATTCTCGGAAGTAGTTCAGCTGTCAGTGTTATAAGTTTTGTGGTTATTTTCATTTATAACTTTAATTAATATAACTTTCATGGCAGAAAATTGTAAATTATTTATGCAAAACAATGCCTAGGTGCTGTATAATTGGTTGTGCGTCATCAATATCCCGCAAACCGAGCAATATTACGTTTCACCGGTAAGTTAAACACTTTCTTGGAATAACAGTATTTAAAACGTAAGTAAGTTATTCTGAAAATGATTGCGTGTATAAATCGATACATATCGTATTTTGGCGTGTTCTATTTATGCTATATTGCTCTTTTCGTTTATATTTTTATAATATTTCGGTCCGTAAATAATATTGTTTACATGGCTAGTGTCGTTACTTTAACATATGGTTTATATCGATAATTTTAATATTTAAAAATATATTAATTATTTTAGATTACCAAAAGATGAAACAAAAGAGGAAAATGGCCGAGTTACATAGAAGCAGAAAATATTAAATGTAATGAAAAAGTTACTTTTATCTGCTCACTTCATTTTAGGGAAAGTTGTTTGAATCGAACTTTAAATATAATAAAATTACGAGATGATGCATTGCCAATCAAATACTCTGGTAAGAATTTTTGACAATTGCTTTTAACTTATTTAAAAAAAATGTCTATTTAGTTTTTTATATAGTCATTTTGTTATTCTATAAATGTACCTTATTTTTAGTCTTGCGGTCATATGATGACTATTTTAATTGAAAAAAATCAGAATGCAATATATAATAATATTAAAATATAAAATTCTAATCATAATATACTCCCAGTAAAATATACAATAAAATGAGTTAAATAATTTTAATAAAAATTAAAATATGCACACTTATCAAATAGTTAAAGGTTTGCTTTGCTGTTCAATAGTATAATCTTAATACCCAAATAATTATTTTGCGGCGTGGATGTTTATTTTGCTGATGCATCATAAAATATGCTACCTTTTTGAATTTAAATTGCTGACCGTTATCTTGATTGTTCACAGAACATGAACTGCAGACTGTTTTAGTGCTGAGAAAATATTTGTATGCTTGCCTATTGATTAATCGGCTGTTTTCTTCTTGCTAACCAAATTTTTAAATAAAATGCCAATTGTTACTTCTTTAATAATGTTACTGTTATGCCAATTGTTACTTATTCATCACCAACTTTGTTTTCTTGTTTATTCATCAAAGTTTACAGTATTTTTATGTTCTTTTACCAATAATATAATACAAAGATTTTGTAGGTGTTTCAAGTTTTCTATGTTTACTACTAAACAAGATGTTCTGAACTAAAATTGTGACACAGTACGCACGGTATCTCACTTAATGAGGAGGAAGCGAAATTTATTCAGTCAAAACAATTTATTGAATAAATTTATAGACAAGTTGGCTTACTAGTTACAAGCATATAAGAAAGTCGAAACTCTGTGCTTATAGTTCAGCAATCTATTACGGTAAACCTTGTACCGAGAAAAGAAGAAACTGTAAGAAAGGAACCGGTAAGAAACTGCAAGGGCTGCTTTTGCACCCTGTTTAATTTCATACTGAAAAATAAAAAATGACTTCATTGGACCAAAATGTCACTTTCCACCAAAACAATAAAAAATATATAACAGACAAAAAAAAGCATAATAATTCATTCGTCAATCGACTCATTAAAAGCTTATTATAGTTACCGTGGTAGTTATCATGGACAGCAGTCACACTTCCCGTGGATGCAAAATGAAACTTATGTTAAAAAAACTATTTAATTATAATTGCAAAATGTCAACATGACAATATATATGGAAATAATTATAAAACACGATTGATATTATTGTAAAACTTTTAAGATATATATTTTGGTATTATAGTTCTTAAAACTATGTAAAATTTGGCTATATTAGAGGAAAAAGAAACATATTTATCGAGGTACAATCATATTATTAAATAATATAAATGTGAAAGTTTGTGAGGATGGATGTTGGTTATTCTCATGTAAAAACTACTGAACGGATTTTGATGAAATTTGGAATACGAATAATCTTTTACCCGTGGGAAGCGCCATCATACGCTGGTAACATATGTTATATTTACTATAGTGACGCAACGGAGTCGCAAGAACAAAGAACGCAAGAAATTTTAGGTGTCCAACAAAATACGAGCAAAAGATTGCTTAATGATTTATAAATAATTGATAAATTCACGCCTAATTCACGCATAATTTAAAAAAATATTATTTTCTTGATACTGGCGTGAATTTTTCAATTTAATTAATAATAATCATAAATAGGATTGGTACGTAAGTGTGAAATGAATAGAAGTGTAATAGGTAATAGTTTAGCCATGCCCCTAACAATGAAAATTATATTATTTGATAAGTAGTAGTATTGTAGCAGTTTCACGAAATACTAACTTTTATTTAATATGACTTCAATGTCGATACAAATATCGATATCTTGGGTCACGCCCTATGACAATCCGCCATCGAAGAATTTGCATTTGAAGTTTAGGCATATACGCTTTTTTCGTAGGTATGGCCGGTCCTCTTCTTTTATGTCTATGATTAGGTCACAGACAACTTTTTTTTTTTTAAATTTGATATGACTTGAAGTCAAATCCTTTTAAGCCGTACGAATTGTTTTATTAATTTAAAATTTGGATATTAAAAATAATAAAACACTGTTGGTAACGCGATTTTTGTTTGACTGATGTAATGACGTGGAAACTGATGCATTTTATCTCGCGTGCCGAAACTAATACAAAAGAAACGCGAGTTTCGGAACGCGACATTAAACTCCTCCAACTATGTATTCTGTGCTCCAACGCACACACGCACATTGTTTTGATAGATATGATCTTTGACGTTAGGAACACACCTACATTGCTTAGACAACAGTGAGTGCTTGTAATTTAATATGAACTTTATACCATAGCAATAAAGCTCAAATTGACTACGTTTTAGTTACAAATCATTTGTATGGGAAAAGAAAAGGGCTATTTTTAGGGTTTTTCCAGCAATAATTCTAATTTTTCCGTAAAAACCATCCTTGAACTTCAACGAACATTTTAAAAAAAGATTTGGCCAAATTGGTCGAGGCGTTGTTGAGTTATGCGCTTACCAACACATTTTGCGATTCATTTTTATATATATATATATATATATATATATAAGATAAATAAAATTAAGAGTGTATGACTGTAATAATGAAATAACCGCTTTTAACAAAATACATACACATGTATGTACATTTTTTTACATTTCTGAAACGGCTGGCTAAGCTACTCGTAACTGCCAGTGAAAGTATGACAAAATCGGTCCAGTCAAAATAGGTCTAGTCCTTTCAGAGATTACCAGGAACAAACAGAAAGAGAGACAAACAAAAAAATATTATTTTGGTATATGTACCGTGTAAATATAGATTATGCATTCCGTACAAAGCAGTTATTTTAACATTATAGACTATATATAAAAGTGAAGGAGTAGTCAAGCTGACAGGTGCAAAATGTTTTCCGAAGCGACGTCACACCATGGCTTGTCATCACGTGGTCACGATCATGTGATACAGAAAACACTTAATCCAATAAGACAATAATTTGATTTGAAGAATCAATATTAGCATTTAAATGTTTATTTCAATGTAAAATTTGATTTTTGCAATTTTGTGACTTACCGAAACTAACCTTTACCAGAAAAAGAGAATTTTGGCAATGAGGAATTCATTAGCAACTACCCAAATAATGACTAAAGATCTGATGAACCTAATTCTATAGCTTGGTTTTACCGGTCATACCGGCTCCCTAGCACAGAACATAATCCTCCCTCTAGCAATCACTTATTCGTGTTAACTATCACTGGTTTGCAATTTAGAAATGTCGATATCAACGTGCCCCACTGAACTTCATTTTAACACTTTATCTTGTATTTAACTGTTATTTCATAGATTAAATGGACTTCAATAAGTGATCACTGATGATTTCACCTAAATTAAAAATATATATATAGCAACTGTTTAGGGATTAGTGATTTATTAAAAATGCTCATAGCGTTCTGTGAACAATTTATTTCAATGTTCTCAGTAATTGCTTGAGTTACAGAATAGGGCCAAAGGGCAGATCAATGTTGCCTGGCAAAAATTAAGAACACTCACAGACATATTGTGCATTCTACTCATATAAGGAAAAGTATATAAAACTGCATCAGGAGTTCTACCAGCGTTACTGTGAACTAGACAGTACTAGAAGTACCAAGTACTAGACAGTAAAGAATAGGCATTAAAAAATACCAAATCAATGAAATGAAGGCGATAGTGTGACCAGCTTGACAATATATGAAACGCGTACATTCGTGTAAGCGTGTAGTCTCATCAATTTGCCAATCATGACAACCCAAGAGATCATCACAGTAAGGCACAATGAGGATACCCAACACCAATTAAAAGGATAAAGAATGGAAGAAGTGTATATCATATTCATATTACAAAGATATGAAAGAGAGATTTGAGAGTTGCTCATGGTATAAGCTACTGGCAGCCTGCTTAAAGTTTCCTAATGTTTAACCGTCCTAATCCATAAAATTTTGGAAGATATTCTATATATCGCCTGTTTCACTAGGAATAATGTAATGTAAGAAGTTTTCAAACTGATCTTGTAATTTCAAATCCTATAGAAAGCAAATCAAATATTTTTCCCTCCTTGTATTATATTAATTTAATATAATTAATATAATACAAGAAAACTTCTTATTAAAATCTAAGAAACTAACATTTTAAACTGTAATTATTTTGAACAAACAACTTGTGTACTTACGTTTTTCACCTTCTAATTCTCTGCTAATGATTTCTTTATATTTCTTCACGCTATCAGTATCACTTGGATGATGGAAAAGAATCAGGAACGGCAGCCCTTCTTCAGTCAACTCCTCAGCATTTTCAAATGTTATCTCTCGAACTAATGGGATGCACTTCTCCTGTACCCAACTAAATAGTTCATCAAAGCTGGTCAGAGAACCTTTGTAGGTTTCATCAGGTTCTGTTGATGTTTTCTTGTCAGCTCTAAATACAACAACTGGTTGACCTGAAAAAAAAGGAAATATTTTTTTTTTCTTTTAGTTTATTTAATCTTAAACAGTTATAATTTGAATGTGTCGTTGGAAATGCAAATAAAGTTTTTATTATTATTATTATTTATAAAATTTGTTAAAAATTTCCATTGTATGTGGTTAAGGAAATTAATAAAGTTTAAAGATTATTCGCCGAATATTTTAACTAAAGAACACTTATTTATATTTTAAATAAATAAACAAAAATATAATTTTCCAATATTTGTAGTCTATGTCTCACATCAAATGAAACACCATGTCATGCATGTGATGTCATTTCTTGTAATGACGTCGAAAAATGCATACTGTATGGCAATCCGTATATACAATCATCTACCTAATCAGATAAAAACACTGACATTTACTAAATTCAGAAAGCATTTGTTTGACTTTTTTATTGATAAATTATATTATACGATGAATGACTTCTTTAAAGATAAAAATGTATGACATATAATCGTAAATTTGTTTTTCTAGGTAACATTTTCATTGGCATTGACATTTTGGATAATTTATATAATTTAAATTTACATTTATTTTTTAATTATTTGATAAAGATGCTGATATTTGTTTTTATATCAATTTTATTCAATTTTAGTGTCAATTTGTATTTTATTTCTTGGAATTATGTTGACAGCTTTATATTTATTTTTAAAAATGACTTGTAATATTTTCACGTCGTCCTGATGACAAAATATGCTGGGTATTCAAAAATTGATAACAACTTATAAAACCATATTTTTGTAAATAAAGATTTTATTATTATTATCATTATTAGAAAAAGAGCAGGTCACTTATAAAGTGCAAAATATTCTTAATGATATTTTGACTTTAAATAGCTTACTAAGTTAATTATTATACTAAAATACAGGTCACTACACAACTGGCCTTGTGAATAATGTTTAGTGCAGTTTTAATTTCTTAGTATCTTTTCTAGGAGATGATATTTGGTGATGCTGTATGGTGATTATGACCATATTGTTTAGATATAGACAGAGGAAGGATTAATATTTTTAAACTATATTTAGCAAATTTACCTGGAGGGTGCATTTGCTGTGAAGCATCTCCAAAACCAACATGGAATAGACATTCATCTTTAAGATTAGCAGCCACCTTCCTTAGGACATCATACTCAGGTTGATCTCTTCTATCCATGTAGCCTATGATATGCCTTTTATCTTCACTGAGATCAAGCAGTTCTTTCAGGGATCCAAAGGTAACAACTGGATCAGTGAGCTGTTTCTTGATGAATTCTGCAAAAGCTTCTGCAGATCTTTGTCCTGAAATGCACAAAGCATGATTAATTAAATTCTATTAGACAATGCTTTAAATATTTACCAAGACTGTCAAAGTTTACTAAATAAGAGAAAAACGTTGACAGGATTCACAGAGGTGTTTGATGGTGCAATGGTTAGGGCAATCAGTCTATGATACAGTTGTTAAGTAACTTGCAATGGACAGTCATAGCGCTTTGGAATGCATGTTAAATCTGCACTGACCAAGGGTTGGGCTATGGCCCATTCCCCTGATTTGAATCCATCTACACGGAAGGCCTAAGCCAAAGCAATGGAGACATTAATAGACTGGTGATGATGACGATTTACAGAATTCAGCAATTAATGCCTAAGCAAAGTAGTAGCATATAATAACACAAGAATTTATCGATTTCCAAACAATAATACACATACCCAGTTTGCAGAACACAACATATTTTTTAAAATAAAAAATTAAAGATTATTTCTTACCTCTGTACTCTTTTTTAGCTGGCAAACCATTTCTAAAAAGCTTTAAAGTAGGATACTTTGTTATGTGAAATCTTGTTGCTATAGCTCCTTCCTTATCACAGTCAACTTTACCCATTACAACTTTACCAGGGTCATAGCCAGCTTTCGACACTTCATCTGATGCTTCATCAAAAATGGGCATCAACATATTACTAAATTTACACCATTCAGCATAGAAATTTATGAACACAACCTCATTGGAAGCTGCAATAAATAAAATAAGAATAGCTAAGACAATTGAAAAAAACAACATTCATAAATGGGCTTTGAAGATGCATTCTTTATGCTTTGTTTCATGTCTTAACTCATCAGTCAATGAAGACAAAACAAAACCAAATTAAACAAAAATTTGTTTATTCAAAACTAGTATAACAGAATTGGCTATATAAGGGTCATCAAGGTAAAATTAAAGGACTACTGTATAAACGAAATTGAAATTTAATATGTAATAGCACAGATAGTTTCAGTTTTAGTCCCAAGCCAACATGGAACTAAAACTGAAACTATCTGTGTGTTTTGATAAATTCTAATTGTAAGTGTAATAAGTTAGACTATTGATGAAGACATTAGAAAAACTCCCTGAAATGTCAAAGTTTGAGGGTAGGCATGGGGGCTTAGAGCGTAATTTTTGTAGGCCACTCGGGCCTGTACCGGCATAGTCCATATTTACCAAAACTTAACAACAAAAATAAAACAATAACATCACGGAAAACGGCTAAACAACAAGAAAGGCAGTAGCATTCACAATGGATGACAATCCCAGATTACGATTTTAACAATTATGAATAAATAATAGTCTGACAAAATTAAAAAGCTGTACTACCGAAACGCTTGAAGGGGTTAGGCAACGTTTTAAATTTGGTAGAGTTACAGTGACATGAGAATCGTGCCGAAACTATCCAACACTGCTTCTTTAGGTTCTTTACGATGGACACTTTTTTTTGTAATACTTATTAAATTATTTAAGTTAGTCATATACTCATAAATTTGTTTAATATTTAGCTTAAATGACAACAGTTAAGTATAGCAGCTGATATTTAAGTGAATATGTAGCAAATTAGCCGTCAGTCTTAAAAGTAACATGATTATTGATATTTTGTCACAAAGTATACCATAAAAAGAACCTTATTTCACTTCTGTCTAATGCTAGAATGAATGGAGTATAGATACATTGGGGAGATCTATGCCCAACACTGGTTCATGATATTTCAATAGTTCATGCTTTTTAATTTAAAGTAACATCAGATATACTTTTAAAAAACAGAACTGTAAAAAAGAAGCTGTAACCCTACATAATTAATTCGCCGAAATGCAGCCGACGTGCGCACGCAACAACTTACCTAATACCATATCTAAATTACTTTGAGTAATTTGAACTGCACCGCTATCAGTAGGGTTGTAAAAACTGTGGCAGAACTGAAACCAAATATTTTTAGAACAATTATACACCAATTAATTTGCCGTATTAAACCATAAAATCAACAGTTCATACGTCACAATCTTGTGTTATTTAAAGAGGGTTTCCAATGTTTACATTACTTACCAAAATAATAAATGAACCTAGTAACTTATAATTGAGGATATTTCCATTATACAAATACATTTTACAATACACTTTTTATTTAAATCTAAAGAAAATGGTGATTCTTAAGCTGAAAAGCCAAGGGATGACAGCTTCATCGGCTGCTGCGGTGACAAGTTTCGCGGAGGGGGTACTGTATGTCAGTTAATGCCTTGTCAAATGCTGATTGGTTTAGTTGTTTTTTTTTATTGTATTAAAAAGCTCTGGAATCCTGTGAGCAAAATAATCGACTAATTTTGAAATCCATCACTTACAGTCCGATTCAAGTATTGTGATAGCTATTTATGAAATTATGTATGTATCTACCGTTGAAAGTCGCTATCGCTTTTGGAAATAATAAGTATTTGAATGATCAATAAACAATAATAACTCAGCTAAATTCGTTGAAAGATAGCAGTTAGCATTCATTTGAAATTTCTCAATAGCTTTCAAAGATATTGTATCAAGCTCTCAGCACCTTTCAGTCATACACGCTACAACTATTCAACATGTGACACCAATTGCGATCGCGTTGTTTTTTTATCAATATTGAAAGAAAGTTGACATTACATAATTTGTCGCTGAATAATGTGAAAATATTTAAAAAGTTAGTTACAGTCTACATGCTTAAATTATTTATTATGTTACTTACGTGTTAGGAACCATAACTGGTTTTTAGGTGAAAATTGGTAATAAGCTAACTTATTGGATGCTCGTAACTTCTACTGATTCAATTCATCTGATTTCGGGTTTGAAATGAAGAACAAACAGCGGAGCGCAGAATGAGGAAGTATTCAATGAATAAAAAAATTCCTAAAAATTATGTCACTAGATGGCAGCACAAATTAAAGGATCTAAATCTTAATGAGTAATGTTGCGGCGATTCGATTATTATACACATAGATAAATCGATGAATAATCGATAATAATGGATTCATGTCAATGATTATTAAATATTTTTACCCCAAAAGTTTGTTAATGATTTCAGATTAATTCCACCGTAGTTTACAGCCATCCAAGTCAATGAAAAATAGTTAAAAATCAATTTTAAGACAATGTTTACTATACCAGCATTGTGCATGGAAAATTTATAGAATTAAACTAGCCGTACCCGTGATTTCGTCCGCGTGGAAAATAGCTTTAGTAATTCCTTATTACATAAGCTATTTGCCAGTAAATATCCCGTCAAAATTGGTATAACAAACAAACATTGCGTAACAAACAGTCGGACAAAAAATGTAAAAAATATTATTTTGGTATAGGTATGTAACGTGTATTAAAAAACTGAAATTTGAAAAGTTCGAAACTTAGATATCAATACAATTTACTTTTAATCTTGAAAGAAAACCGGAAAGGTTGTCATGGAGAAATCAAGAATGTAAAGTAGTGACATCTAGTTTGATTTCGGGGACTAATGTTTTTTTAAATACTTCCTCATTGCCGTAACAATAGCAACACTGCAAAAAACGGTCCAAAATATTTGAACTTTGTAAGTAGATGATAATTTACAAATTTTTCAGAAGTTTTTTATTTTGTTTTTATTTCATTCAACTTATTATGTATTTATAGGTGTTTTTTTTAAAACATTTAATACTCGTATATTGTTTACGATTATCGGACCTTAGAAGTACATAGCATTGAGGCAAATAATTGAATAAAAAAATTAAAATTGACAAAACTCAGTAACGGCATATTGAAAGGCCATTTTTCAATAATTTAATTTTACATGTAGTTATTAATTTATTCATTTGACCTTGGCAGTCCAGTACAAAGTTACAAATTGTATCATTAAATACTTGGTGTTTTCAGCAATTACCTAATAATATTGATTTCTTATATTTTCTCGTGCACTGTCCATAAGTGCCTAGTAAAATAAAATATACCTATAGCTTTTTATTATCTTCACAGCTGGTTTCTTGCAATCTACCGATATTCTGAAATGGGCACTACTGAAATGCCAATCAGAAATATATTATTAATAGGTAAAATTAAACAACTTTATTCAATTTATTCAAAGTTTATTATACATTAGGTACTTGATTGGACGGATTCAAAGTTTTTTTTTTCGCATGCACATTTTTTCTTATTTCTTACAAATAATCATCTCATGCAATAATTAAAAAATAAGGCACAAGATTTGACATAATAATGTAATTTTTATAAACAAATTATTCTTGCGCTATGTTTAAAAGTACTTATAACTACTTTATGATTGTCATGATCAACAGATCTAAATATTAGCAATTCCCCATTTATAAACATTATAATAAGTCATATTACACATAAAAAGAACTTTATTTAAATTTTAAATGTAAGAAAATATAAAATTAGATTTTAATAGATTTGTTTTTAATTAAATGGTCATGACTATGACAATTATTTTCAAAATAATTATTGTTTTATCAAACGATTTACCACTATTCTAATTGGAACTCAATTCACACTGAAAATAAATATATTAATGTTAAAAGACCACTCAGCATACAAATGATTGGTTTCACTGTAGAACTACCACTCTGGAAAAGAAAAACTATAGTTATTTCCAATCATTCTATTGCAAAACAAATCACTAAAAGTATTTTGTAACAATGAATTGTTAATAATAATATGGTTTCTTATAATTATTCAAAATTTGAACAGTTTTAGCACATTTTATATTGTCGGGGTCTGAGTGCTGTGGCACCTTTGCTGCTTCAGATTTTCTTTTTTAGTTTATTTAGTAGATAGTTTAATCTGAATAAAGGCTTATTTTATTTTATTTATTTATTTAGTTCTTACTTTATAGATAAAAGGAAATTATTTTTCAGTAACTTATTTTGATTGGTGACCAACAAACATCAAAACTTGTTAGAAGGTACTGAAACTAAACTGAAAATTGAAAAGTTTTTTCAATATAGGTACATGCTGCATACCCTACCGAAAATCTCTGAGGTATGCCCTGCTGGGTAACTCAGTAGTTAGAGCAGTCTCATGGAAAGCGAAAGGTCATCAGCTTGTATCCCATCTCAGAGTACCAGGCACAAAGCAGATTATTAAGCATTTTTCATTAAAGTTAATAAGTTTTAGATTTTTTTTTATTTAGTGTCAAGCTAGGGGCTTACAATTAGAATGAAAATGTTATTTTGTACATTACATAAATAAGGCCGGTTGTCGATTTCTGAGTCTTTAATTTAAAAAATAAATATACTTACAATTACATAGTAATTGCATCTGTCTCCTTGACAGCAATCGGAGCACGCCCAATCCTGATACCAAATATGTGTGCATAAAGGCATGAATCGCTGTCTCGTCAGAGCACATTCTGTTATATTAGAGCACCGCTTAGAAACATAATATTGTTTCTTAGCGCCTTGTGACCAGTAAGGGGTGCTGCCCCATCTAATTTCGGTCAAACATACATCTTCATTATATGCACACGTTTTGATTGTTTTCACACATTTTTCTGAATTATCTTCTTGATTTTCACACACGTAACATTCTAGACTTAACACTGTAATATAAAATTATATTTTCCTAGAGTATAAACAGTACATCATGTAGCAAATTATTGAATACTACGTACCTTGGGCAAAACAGAATATTAAAATCACAACTATGGAAAGATAACGTTTCATTGTTGTTATTTATTAGATTTCATTTATAAATTAGACATAAATAACAGTATAGAAATTAAAAGAATCGATCAACAGAACAACATAAAAAATCAAACCATCACAGTCCACACCCGCAGTGTGACCAGATTATTTTTTACGAAAATACCGAAGCACCTCAAAAAAATACTAAAATATACCAACTTGAACAGGGAAAATATACCATTAAAAATACTGATTTTAAAATTTTAAAGTTTAATCAATCATCACAATAAATGTTAAAATTGTAGTTTAGAATTGTATAACAATTTGTTTATAAATCTGTTTCTTTGTTCCGTTTTTATTAAATTTATCTGTGAAAATATGCGCTCGCATGCAGCATTCGATACCGGTATACATAACAGAGATTTACTGAATGCAGTTAAATTTTTGTACTTGAACGTGCATTGAACCAAACAGATGTAACAGTTAGTTCTCTTGTGGCTACTCCCCGTGAAGTGTAATCCGCAGGGTTTTCTTTAGATGCCACATATGACCAACATTGGTTATCTAAATGTATTAGTATATCCGAAACCCTATTCGCCACAAACGTCTTCCAACGACTGGGATGACTATTTAGCCAGGCGAGTACTATTTCGGAATCTGTCCAGGCGTGAAGATCAACTTTTGGAATATTCAAAACTTTTGCGACTTCTATCAACAGTTTTGTCAAAAGCACAGCCCCACAGAGTTCCAATCTGGGTATCGATACCTGTTTAATGGGTGAAACTTTTGTTTTCGATGTAACCAATGCTACTTTTATATGACCTTCAGCATCTATTACTCTGACATATACCACTGCTGCATAAGCTAATTTGGATGCATCTGAAAATCCGTGCAACTCAACCTTTACATCGTTAGATTTTGTATACATCCAGCGTGGGATTTTAATTCCAGCTAGTGCATTTAAGTCATCACGGTAAGTGATCCATTCATTTAATAAATTGCTTGGAACTTCTTGATCCCAACTAATACCTGCAAGCCATAATTTTTGGATCAGTATTTTGGCTAAAATAATACTGGGCGCTAACCAACCCAAAGGATCAAATAATTTACTTATTTCTGATAACATTTTTCTTTTTGTTACAGGTTCATCTAGAGCAGTTATTTCAACGGAGTACTTAAAAACGTCGGAGCTTGGATCCCAGGTAAGACCCAAAATCTTAGTAACATCATCTAATTTTATTATAATATCTTCGTTCTTCTTAGTAGTACTTTTTGTAATTTTACGTAACAATTCCTGACTATTGCTTTTCCATTTCTGTAAAATAAATCCACCCTTTTCTAATATACTACTAATTTCCTTGTAAATTTTATAACCTTCTTCTATATTTTCAGATCCTGTCATCAAATCATCCATGTAAAAGTCGTTCAATATTATTTGCTTCGCAACTGGAAACTCCTGACCTTCGTCGTGGGCGACTTGATGCAACACACGAACTGCTAAAAATGGCGCCGATGCAGTTCCAAATGTAACCGTTACTAGTTCAAATTCTTCCATTTCATTTTCAGGGCTATCCCTCCAAACAATACGTTGAAACATCGTATCTTTTCTATCAACTAGTACCTGCCGATACATCTTAATAATATCCGCAACTATGCAGATAGGATGACGCCGCCACCGCATAACTATATGTCGCAGATCTGCCTGCAAACTGGGACCTACCATAAGGTTATCATTTAATGATACTCCATTTTTCCCCTTGCAAGATGCATCGAAAACCACGCGTACTTTAGTAGTCGTCTTGTCATCACGGATAACCGCATGGTGAGGTAAGTACAAACCTTTATTTGTTTCTTCTTTAGGCACTTTTGTCATATGTTTCAATTCTGAATACTCATGTATTACCTTTCTATATTCTTCTTTTAATTTGAGGTTTCTCATTAATTTATATTCTAACCCTTGAAACCTTTTTTTAGCTATTAATAAGGACTCGCCATATTGACAACTACGTTTATCATCCCGGAACGGAAGACGCACTACATAACGACCAGTTTCATTTCTAGTAAATGTCTCAACAAAAAACTGTTCACATAACTTCTCTTCTTTACTTAACATCTTTTCAGATCCAGTCGGTTCAGCCTCCAGCTCCCAGAACCGTTTAAGAAGATCTTCGGTTTGGATACTTGCATGCATCACCGTAATGCCGCTTAACTGCTCTTCGCTGGTTGAACAATCGGAATTGATAACACCCGATATTATCCAACCAAATGTTGTGTCCTGCGCTAAGAGCATATCACTACGTTCAATACCGCCTTTAATTATTTGACTGTACACCTCGGCACCTAACAAAATGTCAATTTTGTTAGGTCAGTAATATTCTGGATCTGCTAAATCTGCTTTATTTAATGCTCCCCATTCTACGCGACAAGTTTTTACCGTAGGAAGAAGAGATGTTATACTCTTTAAAACATATGCATTTACATCTATATTAAATTTTGAATCTGATCTAGATTGTATATTCATTGAAACTGTACACTTAGATAATAAACATTTCTGGCCACCTACACCTTTTACAGTGTTTCTAGAGGACTTTTTATTTAGTCCTAAAAATTGAACCATTGCTTCAGTAATAAAGGATCCTTGAGATCCTTGGTCTAACAAGGCGCGAACCTCTTTAAATGTCCCATCTTTCGACTTAACCTTCACTAAAGCTGTGGTTAATAACACTGTATTTTTACTGTAACCTGTCGAAAGACAAGATGTGATCACCTTATCAGACACCTCCGTCTTCTTGACGGTCTTAACACCAGAGCACTCTCCAGCTGAACCGTTAGTCTCTATAACTTTCTCCGAAGTTGAGGCCGTGTCATTTGAGACTGTACCCTCACCTGAAGACCCAGAACCACCATTGGGATGTAGCAAAGTATGATGTCGCCGCTTACAAATTTGACATTTAAAAGTGCTTTTACAATTTTTCGCAGAGTGATTATTTCCCATGCATACAAAACAAACCCCATTTTTCTGAACAAAATCACGACGAGTATCACTAGTTTCTTTTACAAACTTTTTACACATATAAATTTTATGATCCGAGCAACAATACGGACAACATAATTCTTTTTTCTGATTTTGTACATAAAATGAGTGTGTAGATCGATGACTTTTATCAGTAACATTAGTATTTCTGTTATCTAAATTTTCTAAATCTCTAAAACGACCGATTAAGAAATCCGTAAACTGTGTATAAGTAGGCAGATTATCAGTTGAATCTGATGACACGTTCAGTTCCCATGCCTTTCGAGTTTCTCTATCTAATTTTGCACTTATTAAATGTATTACAAGAATATCCCAAGAGGAAACATCTATGCCTAAGTTTTTAATAGACTCCAAACAATCGGTTGTAGTATTTACTAATTTTTTAATTTCATGAGCTGATTCAAAGGTCAAGCTTTTTTGATTTAATAAACGCTTTAAAATTCCGTTCGCCAAAAACTTTTTATTATTGTACATCGACTCTAACTTATCCCAACAACATTTATAATTTTCTGATGTAACATTTATATTCCTTAAAAGTTGCTCGGCCTCACCTGTCAAATGACCCTTAAGATAATACAACCTTTGTGCATCGTCTAACAACTTATTTTTATGAACTAATCCGACAAATAAATCTCGGAACGTTTGCCACTCGATATATTTGCCGGAAAACATTGGAATCTTTATTTCTGGCAATTTTACAATACTTCCTTCCATGCGACTACTGTTCGAAGTACTTGGAACCGACACTGTACTAGAAGACAATTTCGATAAATTTTCTTTCAATTCAGATTTAAAGTTAATAAAAAATTCCTCTACTTCATCATATACATTGTTTTTAAAGTAAGTAGACTCTAATAATTCTGACTTCTTAACTTCACTTATTATTTTAACATGCGTATTATAAAATAACTGCCACTGTTGTTCTATATTTTCTAAACGAGCTTCTATATACGATACTGTTAAGCGATCTTTAGAACATTTCTTATAATTTATTCTAGCCTTTTCTAATTTCGTTTTAATATCAAACTGAAGTTCATTGAAAGATTCCATGTTTATTATTTTTCTATATAAGTGACAATTAAATAACAATATAATCTAATAATATAGCCAACAACAATCAAATCAGCATAAATAAAATTTAACTTTAATCTTCAATTAAAATCTTCACTACTTTCTGCTATACAAAAATCCTCAGTTTTCTAAGTCCAAGTTCAATCACGAAAATTTTACAAGTGTTTTGCACTTAGTATTCTGGCTGAAATCCGGCATAGGTTCCCCGTCTCAACCAATAATTGCTTAAAACTATCACAAGTCTAAATTCTTCTATTACATTTTCAAAGTTAATCTTCTACTTGAAATAAGGTTGAAAATGTACTCACAATTACACTGCACATTCATTGACACATTGATACTCGCCGATAAACTCCACCAGCGCCCTCTGTCGGGCTCCTACCGCTCGTTCCTCCAGTTGACCGGTACCAGCTGACTGGATCCTCCACGTCCGTGACGTCACGCCGCTGCCGCTGATGAAGTCTCGCTGTAGGGATTGCTCTGAGCAGCGATCCACTGCTCAGTACTAACGTAACGGGTGGTAATCATCACTTTCGTAGACTACCAAAAAAAGCACTTTCTTTAAGCCAAAACCGACTCTAAGGACCATGAACAAAGTCGAGGTCTAGAGTGAGGGTTCAATAAGAGACTTAAGTTTAGCTATAGTATTTATTTACGTACACTAGGGATATTCGATATACATCGATGCATCGAATTCACTCGATGTTTACATGTCGATACATCGAATCGATTCGATGTTTTGAAAGCTATTAATTTCTTCGATGTATCGATGTATTTCATGAAACATCGAATAAATTGTAACTAGCTAACTACTGATTAGGTATATTATAATGATTCAATTCAATTGCTTTATTTTAGAGGACAAAAATAAAACCTATTGGTGGCAATGGTGGCGCTAGTAAGCGGTTCTTCTTCTGTTTATAGCGACGAACTCATGTTTTACCGCTAAGGGTACATTATTCTAGGTTCCGCCAAAGTCACGTGGGTAGCTTTTACTACTTTACATGGCAAGCATAGATGCAAAAATAATTTTGATTAAAATTTTTATTGACG